CTCTCTCTCTCTCTCTCTCTCTCTCTCTCTCTCTCTCAAAAATAAACATTAAAAAAAACATTAAAAAAAAAGAGTGATCTGGGGATGCGAGTCAGGCAGTCCTTTTCATACTTGCTGCTTCAGGTTTGGTGAGATTTCCAGCAAATACAGTCCAACTAACTGCTTTATGTGAAGTTTAACCTCCTCTGTATTTCTTATCTGTTCCCTCCTGCCCTGCTTATTATTACTAGTCCATGTCTAAGCGATTGCTTTTTAGAAGAATGGATTTTGCTTAGCAAAGTAATCCGTATGCCTTAAAGGAAGACTATGTGATGTTTGGTGTGACTTACTCAAGTTTTTACAGTTTTGAGGTCTTTTGCATGATCCCAAGAACTCGGAAATAGCAGGGGTTGGCATTTTGGGCCGAGGGAGATACGTTAATTCTGTCAGGTGAAGCAGTGTACGAAGAATTAGATCATTTGCCCGTTGTAGGTAAAATTCCTTGTTGTTCCTTAAAGTACTAAATTAATAGTATATATAATCCTACCTTTAAATGTTACATAAGTAATATATGTTCAATACAAAAAATTTGGAAAATGTTTTTTATTAAAAAAAATCCAACAAGTTGCCAGTTCATCTCTACACCTTCCATCAAAAATAGCTGTCATTAAATTTTGTATCCTTCTCCTGCAATTTTGTATTGTTTTTCCACAATCCTTGGTTTGGATGCAGGGCTGTTAAGAAATGCAGCAGTTCCTTTAAGTTTGTGTCCTGTAAGCCAAGAACAGGTTTCCTTAAATATTTTTTGATCAACATTTTCCATATTAAATGGGTTGAAAATGAACCTTAGGAAAAAATATGGGACTGTGTATAGGTAACAGTAACATTCCCCACAGTTTTTAAGCTTGAGCTTTTTTGGACACTGAACGTTTATATTATTACAAAACACTTAAATCCTTGTGCAGAAATAGGAAATAGAAAGCATTTCTAATGTAGAAATTCAAAACAGGTTTTCATTATTACACAGGTATATTGGCTTTAATCAAGCTGATTCCTAGGTCTTAAATGAAGGTATCAGTAGGACTCTAATTCACAAATTGCCTGTTTTTAAGTATTTTCACCTTCGGTATGTGGAAGTCATTTAAGTTATCCTTATGAAAAGTTGCTTTGTCTTTTCATTTTTTTTTAACCTCTCCCCTTTCTCCTTCTGACAAATAAGCACCTGCTTCCGGATAGCTAACTGCTGCTGTTTATTTTCTGCTTCTGTGACAGCTAGCCGATGGCGGAGTCTCTTCTCTTCAAATGTCTCCCTGGCTTTTCCTTATAGTCCTGTTGCAAGACTCAGCCCTTATAGCAATGGCATTAATACTCCCAGCTTCTCTAAAACCTCAAATAAAGCAATACTAACACCTGAAAGAACAGGTAATATTTCAACTTCTTGACCAGCTGCTTGCTTTATCATTCAGTCACCAAAAACAGCTCACCTGTCCTCTCTTACTGAAAAGTTGAGGGTGATCTTGTGACACAGATTGTGTGCTGCACACTTACTTTGGGCACAGAGAAGGCTAGCCTTCCTTTGTGCTTGAGCACCATTGGTGTGCTCTCAAGTGTGTGCAACAGGCAGTTTTCCTGTTAGCAAAACTATACGTATATGGCTAGATTTCCAAATGCCTAGTGTGCCTTTAAAATTAAATGTCGAACACAACTCAAGTGTTTTTATTATGACTCAGGAATGTAAACCTTGTATGTCTTAATTTTTAAAATTTTATTTTTTCTGGTAGCTTTTTATTAAGCCAGGGCTCCATAGGAAAAAAAAAATAGCCACAGTAGCTTCTTATGAGATGAAATTCTCACCATTTCCTTATTTGTCTCAGCATTGGTGTGATTCCATTCCTACAGTTTTTCTCCCTTTGGGGCCTTTCTTCCTTCATTCTTTTACCCAAGCCATTGCTTTTTTATTTTTGTGGGTGACTTCCCATCTCCTGGGAGTACTGTACCCTCTGTTGTTGAGATTTTATATATGCTTCTGTGTATATATGTGAGCCTTTTACATGTGATGTTCTTATTCATTCATAGCTCTATTTGTACCTGTTTGAAAAACGGACCAGATTATAGTTTAATCTTAAAATTTATAATCCGTTACTACTAGAGAGAAGCATATGTGATTATTAATCAAAAGTGAACATGGAACTAAGTATTCTTCTATAATGTCTTCAGATATATACTTACCTAATGGGATGCAGATTTCAGCACTAGTGATATATATACATTTTAATGTGGTAAAACCATAATTCAATCTGCCCTCTTAACAGTTTTTTTGGTGTATAGTGCAGAGTGATTTTTTTTAATTGTGAAAATTGAACCTGAAAAAATATATGTGAATCATGAACATGTGAAGGACGTGCATGTTATCTCGCCATTGAATGGTTACGTGTTGGTCACCCTTCAGTGGCATTATGAAAATAGGAAGAAAATTGCTGATTTGATACAGGAATTGCAAAGCATTATGTAAATATCAGTTCTTCAGACCAAATGATAAACCTGTTTCCTTTGTTTTTCAGGTTACACATCCAGGGGCTCCCCTCTCAGTCCCCAGTCCTCTATAGACAGTGAGCTGAGTACTTCAGAATTGGAAGATGATTCTATCTCCATGGGATATAAGTTACAGGATCTCACTGATGTCCAGATCATGGCTCGTCTCCAAGAAGAAAGTATGTTCTCTTTAAAGTAGGAAACTTCTTAAATTAGAGTCTTCTACTTGAAATGTGAGGGGATAGGGAGGCTTAGGCATTTCTCCCAAGGTAATGGGTAAGCATTAGATTCTTTTTCTCATGCCTACCCTACCGTGTAGATGGGCCAGTTAATGCCCCTCAGGCTTTCATGGGCATCATAAGTTGTTAGGACATACTCTGGTCAAAATACATGAATATAAAGACATCACTGGTACAGTTACTATGGAAACCATTTGTCGGCTTCTTAAAAAACAAACAAACATGCAATTCCCATAGACCCCAGCAAGTTGCAGTCTTGGGCACCTGTCCTAGAACAGTGGAAATTTTTGTTCACATAAAAACTTATACATGAATGTTTGTAGCAGCTTTATTTGTAACAGCCCCAAACTGGAATGAACTCAGATGTCCTTCAAGAGGTGAATGGTTAATCAGGCTTCAGTGCTCCCATACCAGGGAGTACTACTCAGCAGTAAGAGGGAGTGGACTGTTGATGCAGGCAGCATCTTGGATGAATCTCCCAGGAATTCTGCTGAGTGAAAAAAGATCTCAAGAGATTTCATTCTGTGTAATTCCATTTATATAACATTTTGGAGTGAGAAAATTTTACAGTTGATGAGGGTTAGAGACAGGGTGTGGGATCTCAGGAAGGAGGGGGACGTGGTTATAAAAGGGCAGCACAAGGGATTTTCGTGTTTTGTGGATTTTTGGAACTGTTTAGTATTTTGACACTGGTGATGAATATTTGATCATACAGGTGATAACATTGTACGGAACTTAATACTTCCATATATATGAGTAAAACTGAAAATATCTAAAGTTGGGTTTGTATCACAATATCCTCGTTGTCATATTGTTTTATAATTTTGCAAAATGCTACCATTGGGGGACACTGGGCAAAGTGCACAAGGGATCTCTCGGTGTTCTTTCTTAGAACTGCGTGTGAGTCTATAGTTATCTTAATATAAACTCAATTAAAATCCATCGACAAGCTTCTCAGGATAAATATAAACATAGAAGAGATCATTAGCGGTGGGACAATGTATCAGTGGCTCTGCAGGAAAGTTAACAAATCTAGGAGTGAACTACCGCAAGGTATTAAAGGCACAATAAGATGTAGATCACAGAACTGGGCTAGGCTTGGTTTGGAGTTTTATCTTTTCAGGTCAACATAAGTAGAAACAGCCAAGTATCATTTCATTCAAGCACAAAAACTTCCTGTTTTCAAAATTAGTCAAGGCTACTATGAGAAACATGGTAATGCTTATGGAGAGTTTGATAAGATCCATTCAGAGGGAGAAAGTGATTGTTTTATGTTGTTATTTAGGAATAGTAAAACAGTAACGCTTTATGAAAATATATGACTAGACAATTAATGTGAGTTTCAGAAGTTAGTCAGGGAGAGACTACTTTAAAAAAATTGTGGTATTGACCGTGAGATGAAAGGAATAACTAGAAACTTCCAGTTTGACTATTTTTAGTTGGTTTTCATTTAGGATAACCCAAAACTATTGAAGAGTTGAAGTGTGTGTGTGCTTTGAAAAAAGATAATATTAGTAACAAATAGAACAGAGAGGTGACCTTGTTAGAAAATATTTGTACCCCAGGTTTTGAACTTTGCTTGACTTTGAAAGCTGGGGTGGGGAGCAGGAGGAATACCCCCTGGACAGAGATTGGATTATTTGAATTGTCTAACTTATAACATACTGTTTGTAATGATGATGAACAGCTTTTCCTGAGTATCTCTCCAGATTTCTTAAGGGATCATTTGGGGAAATTGACAGACACTGATTGATGAACTGTAGCAGTGTATTTCTTCTTCATTGGAATTGGGGCAATTTTTTTGCACAACAGGATAGTCTAATCTTAGACATCTGTTTGGTAGGTAAATGTATCTGTTTTCTTGGGACGTAACAAACTATGAACAAGATAGTGGCCTTCATTTGAATTATTTGACAGAAATTTTTTTCTGATGCTTAACTGCAACTTAATTTTTGCTGGATTGAGATGTCTCATGAGGTGATACTGTTTCTTGTTCTGTCATAGGTCTCAGGCAAGATTATGCGTCCACTTCAGCATCTGTGTCCAGACATAGTTCCAGTGTGTCACTGAATTCAGGAAAAAAAGGGACATGTAGTGATCAAGAATATGATCGATTCAGTCTGGAGGACGAGGAAGAATTTGACCATTTGCCACCACCTCAGCCTCGTCTTCCAAGGTGTTCGCCTTTCCAAAGAGGAATTCCCCATTCACAGACTTTCTCCAGCATTCGGGATTGTAGGAGGAGCCCCAGTTCCCAGTATTTTCCTTCAAATAATTACCAGCAGCAACAGTATTATTCACCTCAAGCCCAAACTCCAGATCAGCAACCAAATAGGACCAATGGAGGTAGGTTATATGTGTCCTTTGGTATTTAGTGTGCTTTGATCTTTCATATAGGGCCAAGAAATGGTTTTAAAGTCAGTATAAATAATTGCTAAATGTTTCCCAGATTTATTAAGTATATCTTCAAGAACTTACCAGTATGGTCTGAGTTGAAATCTAAAATTGACCAGTTTCTGATCACGTGTCCCAGACTGACAGATGTACAGCTTCAAGAAAACCACCACGATGTGGCCAGCACAGGATGAGTCATGCATATGGGGCATCTTTATGTGGTTGCTAGTTCAGAGGCAGGACGGGCAGGTGGTGCTGGCTGAGTTCACAGTGGAGCTCCGTGGAGCCCATCGCACTGAGCGGTGTCTCCTTTCCTCTCCCGCCACCTCAGTCCCTCACTGCCTGCTCCTGTCATGCGGTAATGGATGGGAAGCATGGATGGTGATGCTTGTGCACATCCCGATTTAGGACAAGTTTGGATGTGTCTTTCCCTCTGACATCTAGAAGTAAGATCTGTGTACCAGGAGGGATACGGAGGCTGATACTTGGCGTGGTAACAGGAAGTTGATCTGCCCCAGCGTCACTGTCGACGTGGTGGGTCAGAGTATGTGTCATTCTCTTGTGTGTTTTTTCCTTTCTCCATATTCACTGTTAGTCTTACTTCCCCAATCCAGGAGGTACGGTCCTTGACCTCCAACAGACTAGGGAGAACAATCATGTAATATTCTAAGCCTGCTATGATTTTGTACCAATGACCGGTCAGATTTCACATGCAAATCCTGTATAATATGGAGAAATAAACCGTATTTATAATTACAGCTCTTAGTTATTACATAGCACCATTTCTCAAAGCTGGGCCCAGGAGTGGTGAAGCAGCCTATTTAAAAGGACTGCAGGGCCAAATACAAATTGTATTCATGATCACCTGTTACCATGTTTTTTGTTTTTACCTTCTCTTTTTCTGTACTTGTATCATTCGTGCTAATTGAGAGATCCTTTGAAACTATTGAACATTTCAGTCATAATTTCTCTTCTAGTATTTCTAGATATCAAATTTAAAAGGAAAAAAAGTGGCAGCTGAGGCATGTCGTAGTAACTAATTTATTAATGCTCATAATGCCAGAAAAGCGGTGTATTCCATGTGCGTCATGAAAGTCTGCCTCGCTTTGAAATCGAGGAAAAGGACGCCTCGAGTTGTTGCTCTGATGGTTGTCAGGTGTCTTAAAACATCGTATCCTAGTTGCCCAGCAGACGCTGGCCCCGCTGCTTGCTCCGTGTTGCCAGCGGATTGTTGTCTTCCCTTAGAAGAGGGGTTTCACCTTACACCGAGCACCACGATGAAAAGGATCGGTTTCCCTGGACCTGCGCTGTGATGACTCCCATAAGGAAAGCAGAGGCACCCCACAGCTTAGCGTCCAACAGTGGCAGTTTCATTTTTCCTAAAAGGCCTGGGCTCCATGCGCAAAGGAAAATCGAATACGACCACGGTTTTCTGGACTGGACTTGTGGCCGATTAACTTGGGGGTTGAGAGTACAGGCTCTGGAGTCCAGTCTTGTCCCACCACTTCCGTCTTTCACAGGTCCCTCGGGTCTCCATACATGTTGCTTTCTTTGGCTATTAAAATGTGGGCAAATAATACCTCTTTCTCGGAAAACTTAGGTATAATTTCACATCAAATCATCTGGTACACACTCTTCCAACGTAAGGAACAAATGAAATAATGACCCTTGCACTGCCTGGATGAAAAGTGCTGGGAAAGTAAATAACGACTGACTGTCTCCCCTCCCACCCTCATTTTAAAAAAATGTGACTCAGATAACTGACCCTTCATTTGTTACCATGGAATATCAGTTGAACAAAATTGTGAAATAAGAGTGGCAGCTTTGAAACTAGGCCATCATATTTTTTCTAAATTCCTAAAATAATATGGATAGGAGAGAATAAATTAGCGATCCATTTAAAATGACTAAAGGGGCACCTGGGTGGCTAAGCCGGTTAAGTGTCCAACTCTTGGCTTCGGCTCAGGTCATGACCTCTTGGCTTGGTGCTTTCAAGCCCCGCATCTGGCTCTGTGTTGTCAGCGAGGGGCAGCTTGGGATTCTCCCTCCCTCCCTCCCTCTCTGCTCCTCCCCCACTCATGCTATCTCTGTCTCTCTCAAATCAACTTTAAAAACTAAATAAATGACTAACAAGAAGTCACCAGTGCATATTTATGTTTATTGCTTTCGTAGCTCCAGCGCTGCCTAGGTTCAGAAAAGAGGGCTCTTAAAATTTGTGGGATCAGGGTGCCTGGGTGGCTCAGTCAGTTGAGCGTCATGAGACTTCGGCTGAGGTCATGATCTTGCAGTTGTGAGTTCGAGCCCTGCATCAGGCTGTGTGCTGACAGCTCAGAGCCTGGAGCCTACTTCAGATTTTGTGTCTCCCTCTCTCTCTGCCCCTCCCTTGCTCATGCTCTGTCCTTCTCTCTCTCAAGAATAAATAAAACATTAAAAAAAAATTTAAAAAACAGTTATGGGACTATTTACAGGGGTTATAAAATTAAAAGCATACTTGGAATAGTTTTCCAGATGTGAACAATGACTAACTCTTGTAGGAACTTTTTAGGGTATGGCAGGGGTTGTCTGTGGCATGAGGTTAGCACTGTTAGCCCCGGGCCCTCCCTTGTACCCTGTACTGATTGGAAGGCTAGATCTGATTGGTGGGTAACCACATGTCCCCTTTATTTCTGAATACTCTTGAGTCTTTGTTTCCTAGAGTGGTAACTCTTGCTGCTGCTTGAGAAATAATAACATGAGAAGACTCCCTTGAATTCTTTCCTCTGTCTGTTCCTCCAGCTTTCCCTGCTGCACCTCAGTCCTTGAGTGCAAATTGCTGATTTCTTGTGAAGATAGAAATAGAATGTTATTTTTGATTCCTTGAACACTAAAGCATATATGGTCATTAATGTGATCCACATTATTTGACAGGAAGAGTGTACCTCATTTCCAGATGGTCCCTGACATCGCTTGTAGATGGGAGCTTCACCCAGAGGAGAAGTGTTCTAGCTATTGACACTCGGAAGCGTTTACTTTTAAGAGCGTATTTCAGATTTAAAGCTTTGTGAGACTGACTCGCTGCTTACAGGAATAAAGATTGGTTTCTAAAAACAGATACATCTAGATTAATAGAGATTAAAAACACGACAACCACATCTAATGTGTGAACCTTGACTGATCGTGGTTTAGGGGGAAATGCTTATGAAGGACATTCTTGATGGGAAAATTTTGTATGTGGATTATTAAAACCTATTGTTAATTTGTTTACATGGAATGAAAGTATTGTGATTGTACAGAATTTTCTTATTCTTTGGCCCTACCTAAGATTTCAAAGTGCCCGGGTACCTTTAGGTTTAAAATTTAAAAGAAATTGTGGCAGTGGGAAGGTCATAGTGACTAATTTATTATTGAAGCTCAAAATACCAGGAAGAAAATGTATTCCATGTGCTTAATGGAAGTCATGACATCATATTAAAACTGAGGGAGAAGGCATTAGTGTTCACATGTCCAGAGATCTGCAGCTTTTATGTGGCTTCACAGCAAACAATTATGTATATATGTGGAGATGAATTAATTATGGCAAAATGAAAACAACTAGCATATCTAGGTGGAAAACATGCAGATACGACACTGCTTTTCAACACTTCTGTATATATGAAAACTTTTTCAACTTTTTAAGATTTATTTATTTTTGAGAGACACAGAGCAAGTGAGTTGGAGAGGGGCAGAACGAGAGAGATAGAATCCCAAGCAGACTCCTCACTGTCAGCGCGGAGCCCAATGCGGGGCTCGAACTCACGAACCGTGAGATCATGACCTGAGCAGAAACCAAGAGTCGGACGCTTAACCAACTGAGCCACCCAGATGCCGCTATGAACACTTTTATAGTAAATAGTTTGGAAACTTAGAAATGTAGAAACTCAATTCATATTCTAAATGGTAGCATAGAATTCTTTCCTTGTGCTCCCTGCAGCTTAAATATATATAGTCAAAGTAATTTAGTCTTGCATTAATAGAAGCTCGCGGGGCGCCTGGGTGGCGCAGTCGGTTAAGCGTCCGACTTCAGCCAGGTCACGATCTCGCGGTCCGTGAGTTCGAGCCCCGCGTCGGGCTCTGGGCTGATGGCTCAGAGCCTGGAGCCTGTTTCTGATTCTGTGTCTCCCTCTCTCTCTGCCCCTCCCCCGTTCATGCTCTGTTTCTCTCTGTCCCACAAATAAATAAACGTTGAAAAAAAAAATTTAAAAAAAAAAAAAAAAAAAATAGAAGCTCGCTTTTCATCCAGTTAGTGTGATGTTCAAAAGATCTGGATGTAGACTCTAAGACCAGTCCCTTCTCCCTTATTTCTCCTACCACACACCGTCCGCCAACATACACATAAATAACGTGTGCTGAATGTATTAAATGCCTGCTGCCTGGGGTTAGGAACTTTAACAAGAATTTAGGAATATGAAACCTATGGTTGTGCAAAATAGGCCTCAAGGAGATATTGAGGACAATGGTCAAGAAAACTAACAGTCAGTGGCAGTATTTGAGCATTATTAACTCTAGAAATACGTACCGGGAATAAGGATGTGTTGTGGGAGTGGAAATACCTCCGCTAGGAGATCTACAGAAAAAGTTAGCGAGGTCGACATAATCTTCTTTTTGGTCTCCTCATAGCGCTCTTTACACTTTCTTATTTTACTTTCTTATGCTTATTATGTAAGTATACTTATTATACTTGTTTGCTTTTCTGTCTTTTCCCTAGACTCCCGCCAAGAGGCAAAAATTGCTGGGCAGGGCTCCAGTGACTGGGTAGAAGTAATGTGAAACAAGCAGTGCAAAGGAGGGGGGAGAAGATGAGTTTGGTTTTGTCCTTGGACACATTTTGGATTAGTGTTCAAGTATATCATTTGTTTTCCAATTTAGCTTGAAAGAAAGTGACCACAAACTTGAGTGCCCTGGTATGTGTCTGTTGGTGTTTTAGGGCATATACCAATAAAAATAAAAATATCTTGGAGAGTAGGGGGTGCATGAACACGCATGAGATAGTACCATGGTTTGTAGTCCCGCAGAGTTCCGAATGTTTCAAATGTTATTTTTCTATATAATTTGTTCCATTTGGGAAAAATAAGATTTAACGTTAAATTTTAGATTTTCTCTTTAGGATGGATAATGGAAACAAGATTGAGAAGACCTGGTTTAGACTATAAACTCAGAGTCAGGGACTGGACCTGTGGTACAGTGTGGTCCCCCCGGCATCTTCTGGGGTGCCTGGCATTTAGTATATACGTGGTAAATTCCTGTGCCCTTTTTCTTTTTTTTTTTTTTTTTTCCAACGTTTATTTATTTTTGGGACAGAGAGAGACAGAGCATGAACGGGGGAGGGGCAGAGAGAGAGGGAGACACAGAATCGGAAACAGGCTCCAGGCTCTGAGCCATCCGCCCAGAGCCTGACGCGGGGCTCGAACTCACGGACCGCGAGATCCTGACCTGGCTGAAGTCGGACGCTTAACCGACTGCGCCACCCAGGCGCCCCGTCCTGTGCCCTTTTTCATTCAGTCACTCCACAGAGTGGGGAAGGGTGGCCCAGTGGAGGGACAGTCCAGTCTGTGACTGGAGTACGTCACAGATGCAAGAGTGTGGAGCACTGGGCAACTTCCTTCATCCACTGCATGGGAGACTAGGCAGAGGGGTGGGAGTAGCAGGAGGTAAGGCTGGAGAAGGGTGCGGGGCCAAAACCTCGGAGGGTCTCATGCAGGCCATGCCCAGTGGCTTGGGCTTTCGGATGAAGGTGGCAGCGTGATTGGAAGGCTTTAAGAGGGTGACTGGGTATGTGCTTGTGCTCTTGGGAGACTGTGTGGGAGAGGAGGCCGAGGAACCGGGTAGGGGGCGTGGGGACCAATTAGGAGGATTTTGTAAAAATGTGAGTGATGAACAATGAGGTCCGAACCAGATGTAGTGGATGATACATTAACTATTAGGCAGAACTGACAGGACGTGGGAGCCGGGGTATAGAAGGGAGGTGCGTCTGAGGAGATGGCCCCAATTTCCGGATTAGAGGACTTGCTGGGCAGGGAGGGTGCAGCCAGCTGGTCTGAGCAAGTGTGGAAGGTGCCGTGTGTGAAGGGGAGGAAGAAGTGAATCCGATTTTGTACTTGAATGGTTTTGGCTTAGCGTTCAAATATATCTTTTGTTTTCTGAGCTTGAGCGACCTGTTAGGGGAACTTCAGTTTAGGGACAGTGTGTCTTGTGGTCCTGTGCTGAATTCACAGCTCAGCAGCACGGGGATCTGTGGGCGACTCTCTGCTGCCCTCTTGTGGCAGCATGTGTGCTCAGCCAGGACAATGAAATGGAAGCGTTCTCTTTTCAGGTCTCAAGAGGTTTAGTGGCTTACTCATAGTTAAAACTTTCCAGAAGTTAATGTAGTCATGTTGGTGTGATGAGTGGGTATCTCAGAACATGTCAAGTTAGGATTTTAATAATTTTTTTCCCCATTTTTCTATGCTAGCAAGAGATACAGTAGGTGTTAGTTTGGTTCTTTTTTTTTTTTTTAATTACTATGCAATAATTTCTAGTGTCTTTTAAAACTAAGTGGCTGTTAAGATTATTCTCTAACGTCACTTTGATACAAATTTATCCATTTGTATACAAATAGCTAATTGATTAGCTAATTCCTACTTATTTTTATAGAAAACATTTTTTTATTTTTTATTTTTTTAATTTTTTTTTTTAACGTTTATTTATTTTTGAGACAGAGAGAGACAGAGCATGAACGGGGGAGGGTCAGAGAGAGGGAGACACAGAATCTGAAACAGGCTCCAGGCTCTGAGCCATCAGCCCAGAGCCCGACGCAGGGCTCGAACTCACGGACTGCGAGATCATGACCTGAGCCAAAGTCAGACGCTTAACCGACGGAGCCACCCAGGCGCCCCAGAACACATTTTTTTTAAACAGTTGCTTGGTAGAGCCTTTCTTGGAGATACTAAGTGTGTTTTCTATACAGAAGGTTAATTCTATGGTAGCTTGTTATAGTTCATAACACACATAATTTTTATGTTATTGAGTATAATATTTATATTTATTTTTGAAAGCTCCTATTTTAACTGGCATAAACTTATGATTTTCGACTGAAATTCTTTTCTAGACAAGCTCCGAAGAAGTATGCCTAATCTAGCTCGGATGCCAAGTACAACTGCTGTTAGTAGCAATGCAAGTTCTCCAGTCGCCGTGAGAAACAGTCAGAGTTTTGACTCAAGTTTGCATGGAGCTGGGAACGGGATTTCAAGAATACAGTCTTGCAGTAAGTGTGACAATTTGTAATTCGTTAGTAATTTTTAGTTGTAATACAGTTAGAAAACTATCTTACTATTTCATTTTTTTTTTTTCTTTTGCGAACATGGCAGGAAACTTTTCTCCTTGTGACTTTTTAACTTCACCATTACAATTGAGTGGTATTTTCATCAGTGCATATGTTATCAATTAATAATTAGTAAATTATGTTTAATCCTCTAAACCCAAGGATAGCAGTAGAGGCACTACACGATGATTAATTTGTTTGCTTGTCGTATGAACGAAAATAACCTCTTTCCTTGCAGATCTGCTGCTTTCTAGCTATCTCTGCTTGATCCCTTTTCTCTGAAGAAAGCATATTTGTTCAGTCTTGCTCTTACCTCTGTGTTGTTTTTCACCTTAGTGTTATCTTAGCTTTGTTCCTCTCAAAATGAAGTTATATTTTAGCGTGCAAAGTAGTACTTACCTGCTCCCTTTCAGCTTACCACACAGTCTGTCATTCATTCTCTGGATGTTTTACCCAGCAGTGAGCCATGCAATGAGTGTGAAATCTTGTATTCATATGTTTTTATTTTGTGTGGGGATGTGGTGGTTCCAGGGCCCCCCTCCCATTCCCGCTCGTGCTGTTTACGTGAGTAGTTGGGGTTAAGTCCGACACTGATCCCTGGGAGGCAGACTCACGGTCACAGTCCCAGTGTTGGTACCCAAACGTGTAGGAGGCCTGACGGATGTTCAGAGTGTGCTGGCCAAGTCATCAACCAGGGTGGTCTGAAGCCCTTCTACCTCAGATCCATTTTGGGGGTTCACGTGGCATTTGCCCCACATGAGACGGTTTTTCATTTCTTATTGTCTTAGTTGCTAAAGACAAATTGACAACATTTACCGTGCACAAGGAACTGTGCTAACCGGTTTATAGCTATTGTCTTACTTGGTTCTGCTAACAACCCTATGAGGTCGTTTCTGTCCTCGTTCCCATTTTGCATTTTGAGAAAACAGATAAAGGAACAGTTTGCACAAGGCCATGCAGGTGAAGGAATAGAGGCAGAAGCTTGTTCTGATCACCCCAGAGTTTACGCTGATCTTTCCCTTCTTTATGCAGCTTGTTGCTGTTTACCTTTGTCCTACAGCCCAGACACATACCCTTTGAAAAGGCTCTGTTGATGACCCTAACAGACTTCCCCATAAACCCCCAAAACATATCTAGAATGGATTAGATTTTTGGTGCTTACTTTTTTCAGTGTGTCATATTTTATGGTCTTTATCTTCCATACTAGATTATCAGCTTAGCTGATTTTCTGTGCCTAGCACCTGGCACGCTGCCTGGTATATAATGAGTTCGCAGTAAACGTTTGAATGAATGAGTAGACGAATGCCATAGGGCTGTATCAGATTAGGGCTTAATCTGTTAATATTGGAATTAATGGCTTGTGTAAAGACACGGAAGACGACCTGTGAAATTTGTTAATGGTGGGAAACAGAGCTACTAATTTCATGTCAGGCAGCTAGGACAATAGGCCAGATGAGATCATGATGAAATTTAACTGAGATTAGTACACAGTTCTATACTTGAGTACAAGAGTTGATCGTATTAGTGTAGACTAGGAAAATACAGGGTTGTTGTTTTTTTTAATGTTTATTTTTGAGAGAGCGCGTGAGTGGGGCAGGGGCAGGGGCAGAGAAAGCGGGGACAGAGGATCTGAAGCGGGCTCTGTGTTGACAGACCGTACCGAGCCCGATGGTAGGGCTCAAACTCCTGAACCATGAGATCATGGCCTGAGGTGAAGTTGATGCTCAACTGACTAAGCCACTCAGTCACTATATTATAGTTTTTATAGTAGCAAATGTAGTAATGATTAGGAATTTTTGTTAACTCTGACTCTGTGTGGCTTAATAGTGTGATTCGAGTGCCAGAAGAACATATGTAGCCCAAAATGGAATGCACACAACAAAGAATGGCCAGTTATGGTCGAAGTGCTCAAAAAATTATGGGAATATAGAGCATAGAAAACAACTTGAAGTTCCCAGCGACCAAGTCAGTGACAGTTGAAGCCACAGAAAAAAATAATTGTGAAGGATTATAACCAACAGAATAACCACAGGTCCATATGTAATGGACTAAATACATAAATTGAGAAGGGAAAATTCTTTACAGGAGAATTCCAATTCATCAATGTAAAAAAATAAGGTAGAAAAATCGGTGTTTGAAAGTCAAACATAATGAGAGAAGAAAAATCCTTTAGAGCACTGATGTGCAATATGTCGGTCATATGCTTCTTTCAAATCTTAGGATTCTGTTCTCATTTACTTTTTTTTTTTTTTTAATTTTTTTTTTTAAAGTTTATTTACTTTTGAGACAGAGAGAGACAGAGCATGAACGGGGGAGGGTCAGAGAGAGAGAGGGAGACACAGAATCTGAAACAGGCTCCAGGCTCTGAGCTGTCAGCACAGAACCCGACGTGGGGCTCGAACTCACAAGCCATGAGATCATGACCTGAGCCGAAGTCTGACGCTTAACCGACTGAGCCACCCAGGCGCCCCGTCATTTACTTTCATTTGTAAGCATTCTAAGTGATTATTCTTTATACGTTCTAAGTTTATACCCTGACGATTCCTAGTTCTGGACCATTTTACTTTGGAAAACACAGAGGTAAGATAATGTTGGAAAGGCAGCATGATACAAAAGGAAGAACACAGGATTTGCAGTAAAACAATCTGAGTTTGGGTCTTAATCATATGCTCTTGGATAAGTTATATGTCCATTCTGATTCTTATTTGTAAAATTAGGATTATGTCTGTTTAACTCTCATCATTTTTTCTTCTTTTAAAATACTCAAGGGGTTGTCTGTTTTGTTTGTGTATTAGGAGAGTTCATAGGATGATTTTCCTGAGTAACTTGTGTAATTTCATTTCAAATGATATTGATTGGGATGTCATTGAGTCTGTAGATAAATTTTAGGAGAATTGGTATCTTCATAATATTCTTCTATTTCATTAGTATGGAACATCTCTTCATTTAGGTCTTCCTCACGTCTCTCAGGCTAAGTGTTCATGGCTTTCTGAAACGAAGTTTTAATGCATCATAGTGAAATTTATTCTTAAGTGTTTTTTCAAACTGTAGTTTCTACTTTGCTGATGTTTAGAAATAGTTGATTTTTGCATTTGATGTTGTATTCAGTGACTTTGTTTAACTTCATTTATCGTGATGATGGTAGAATTCAGAATATATCTTATATAATGAGCACATATGAACACTGACACACATATTCTAGAAGGTTCACAAATCCCAAACTGGAATAACCCAGCCTTTCATCACTAGGCAGACAGATTGTGACATTCATACAATTGAGTACTGCATAGCGGGGCAAACATGGCTGAATGTCAAAAACATGATGTTGAGTGAAAGAAGCCAGAGGACATACTGTATAATTCCATTTATTTGAAGTTCAGGGTAGGAATAACCCATCTGTGGTGATAAAGTGAGAATAACTGTTACTGTTGTGGGAAGAGGCATGTGAGCCTTCTGGGGTGCAGATCACTTCCATGGCCTGGAGTGACTGGTGGTGACACAAGTGTGTTCACTTTGAAAATTGAGTACTAGACTTAAGATTTATGCACTTTATGTATGTTTTTCAAAAGAAATTGAGGCAAATTCACATACTGAATTTTTAAATTTAGGCTTTTTTTTTTTCCGAGCTGTTTTAGGCTTACACCGAAATTAGACGTACAGAGCTCCCATACATCCCTGCACATCCCCTCCTTTCCTGGTTTTCTGCTAACATCTGGCATTAGTATGGTACATTCATTATACCTGATGAGCCAATATATTGACATATTCATTGTCAAAAGCTTACCTAACTAAGGAATGGTAGAATTGGTGGGAAAGGAACTTAGAGATTGTCAACCAACAGAAATTTTACTGTGTCACAAAAACTTGGTTGGATCAAAACTATAGCAGAATCTTGCATAGAACCTTTTTTTTTTTTTTTTTAATTTGAGTTTATTGAGAGAGAGAGAAAGCACACATGAGAACAGGCAGAGTGAGAATCCCAAGCAGGCTTTGCACCATCAGTGCAAAGCCTGATGTGGGGCTCAAACTCACAAACTGAGATCATGACTTGATCTGAAATTGAGTTGGACACTTAATTGACTGAGCCATGCAGGTACTTTGAATTGAGCGTGATGAATATGTGTCATCAGCATTCCTGTGTATAGATTTCACCTCAGATGCACTTAACATGAAACTGATTTTTTAAGGAAATCATTCAATAGGCATTAAATAAAACCATGGATTTTTTTTTGTTTTTCTCCCTTTCTGTTTTTATTTCAAAAAGATACTGTATAAGAAATGATACTGTATATTTTATGGTTAAGTTCAAAATCAGTTAAACTGTTTTAGAAAATGGTGCATCCATGTTTAACTGAATTGCAAATATTAGGCAGCAAAGGCTAGAATAGTTTGTAAAAACAGGCAGAGTTGTATGTGTAAGTTTTCATTAAATCTGTGATTCAGTTTTTTCCCCTTGGAGAAAAGGACTCTACAGTTTAAACTTTCTGCCAAACAGTTCATTGTTTCACATGAAATGGTACGCACCGTTGGGCGTGTAAGTATATTGATGAAATTTTTAAGAGTTCTTACCCAGAGAGTTCCCTTCATTATACAGATTTTGCTGTTATCAAGATAATATCACTTGGTGAGTGGTTACTAAGTGTCGGGTGCCATTGTAAGGCTGTATGTGGATTAACTCATTTACTCTTCCCACCAACTCTAGGAGATAAGATAGGTAAATGTCATTATGATATTATTCAATCTGTAATAAGCTGTTTGGACCTACTGAGGCCAATAGGTACACCTGCCTTTGTGTCACAGCTGTTAATTGTCCCCTTGTTTTGTTTTCGTGAAACCATCCCCAGAGCACCCATCAAGAAAATCTTCATATCTTCCAAGCAAAGAAACTGTCCCGTGAGAACTCAGGGATGATTCCATTTGTTAAAGGAAAGGAAGTCGGTGTTAGATCTGGCTTTTGAATATAGTTAGGTGCCCAGAAATGTTGCTGATTGACAGGATAGGAGACTGTTGTCAAGAGCGAGAATTTTCGAGTGCTAAATGTGGTCTGGAACCCGTATTTCATTTATTTCTCTCTTTATATTCCCTTTCAGACCCTATTTGTTGTGGATGTAAGGCGCGTTTCCTCAGTTGGACAGCAGTACAGGTTTTCCCTCACATCTCTGTCGTCTCCTCTTCTAGTTCCATCCCCGGGACAGCTTCAGCACAGAATCCACAGCGTGGGCCATTTCCCAGTGTCCGTCCGACAGCCTCTGAAAGCCACAGCCTACGTGAGCCCCACCGTTCAAGGCAGCAGCAGCATGCCTGTATCCAACGGCCTGCAGTTATATTCCAGCACGGGGATCCCCGCGCCAAACAAAGCTGCGGCTTCTGGGATAATGGGCCGCAGTGCTCTTCCGAGACCTTCACTGGCAATAAATGGGAGTAACCTGCCTCGAAGCAAAATTGCACAGCCTGTTAGAAGGTAGGAACCTTTGTTCATTTGTCTCCATCACCTCTTTCGCAGTTTGAAATCGGAGACTGCTGGGGAACCATCCTCACTCTTCCTGTCTCTGACGTGCTGCCCTTTATGGCCTGATGTGTGGCCTCCTTCCTCTGGAAAGTGATGGGGTTGGGAGGGGTGGTCCCTTGCGTGGTCAGGTCTTCCCTTCCTCCCTCATCACTTCACTCCTGACGCCTTATTGGCTTTTGTTTTAATTTACCAGGTAAGCTCCATCTCCAGAGCTTTTGTGTATTTTCCTTTCTTCAGCTTCTTTGTACAGCCTGTCCCCACCCCCGCCTGACCATAGGACTTCACCCACATGAACGCTGTCCACAAGTGCAACTCCACTGACCGTTGGAACTCCTCTTTCTTACCCTCCTTCTCCATTTTCCCCCCAGAGCCTGTATCCGCAGCTGAGGGACTGTAGATTCTACCTCTTCATTAGTTTGTGGTCTGTCCCCTCTAGAACATAAATTGCGTGGGGTGGGGGGGAAAGGAGTGTTCACTACTCTAAATCCCCAATGCCAAGAACTATGTCTAGCACAGGATAGAACTGCAAATACTTCTGAAGCAATAATTTATCAAAATAAGCAAATCTCCGGCACATGCACACCCTTGCCCACACTCATGCTTTCAAAAGCACCTTAGTGATGCTAAGCCGGGGTTAGCTTATGTTGGTAAGTGTAGTATGGTCCAGGTAGGATTTTTTTATTCTTTGAAATTCCAGATTAGTTGCAAGGCACATATTAGACAAGCTCATGGTCACGATGTACCCTTCTTGAACTGGAGATCGTGGAGTCATCAGCAGGATTCCATGGGTCAACAGGATTCCACGGAGGTGGGTTGAGGATAATTTGGAAGATGAGACTGTGGAGGCAGTAACCACAGACAGCTTCCCCAAGAAGTTAGGCTGTTGAGGAGAGGGCCGGACCATAGTGACAGGATGAAAAGGGATGCGCCAGTAAGCAGTTTTTCCTTCTTTGTTGTCAGGACGTGTAAGTAGTCTTTATTTTTCAATTAGAAGTGTTAGTTTCTGACTTTTTGATCTGAGCCCCTATCAAAAAAACACGTGAAAGTAAACAAAAGTGAATGCCAGAATCCTACTACCCAGCTAGGAAGCGTTTCTTTGCAAACTTCATAAATTCTGGCTTATTCTGCCCCGGTAAGTGCAGATCTGTGTTTACCGTCACATTTGACGTATACAGGCTATTGTGCCACCTCCAAACTAAGCCTCTGTGAAGGTTGTTACTGCCAGACTATAGGAGAGGTTTCCCCAGAGTTAGGCAGAAACTGGGTAGGATTCATTTTAGGTTCTTTGCCAGTGTGATAGGCAGATCCTGATCTGGAAGGTGGAAAATTTCTTCTTGGTAATTTGCTATCTGCATTCAAGGAAGCAACTTTATTTTTAGACAGAGTTTATCTTTTTCTCTCTGATTTTAAGCTATTCTTTATCCTCAGTGGACATTGGTCGTTTTTCACTTCTGTTGCAACTCCTGCACCCACGGCACACATGGCAGTGTGCCGCGAACGGGGTTTCCAGCCGGGGAGCACGGTGCGAAGGTCGGGTGCGTGAAACCCAGGGTGCGCTTGGGAAGGTGCTAGTGAGTTGTCCCTGGTGGGGTGGAGAACGGATGAGAGCGAGCGCTGGGACTCCTGGCGGCATTAACGGTCTGTTTCCTTGTCCCTTCAGTTTCCTTCAGCCTCCAAAGCCTCTGTCTTCACTCAGCACGCTGAGGGATGGAAACTGGAGAGACGGTTGCTACTGACGCTGTCTCGCGTACCCTTGAAGAATGGGAAAGACGTGGAAATGAGGGTTGAGTTACCTAGCTGGCTAGGTAACCGTGAACGTCGGGATATTCTTTCCCTTTTGCATTTTAACATATTTACTGCATTGTTTTCCAATGGACCAAGCGCCAGAGACTAATTATTGCACTTAATATTTGCCTGAGATAATACTGCAACGTTCTCAAATCCACGGTTGCAGTATTGTGACACTTAGATCTAGGAAGTTTTTGTAGAACTGCTATGTACCTGAATACTTTTTGAGAGAATTGAGATGTATCAATAATGCTTTCTTTGCCATGAGTTTTTTAAAGTAACTTGTTCTATTTACTTACGTGTTCTAAACATCTTCCCGTTACATGTTCTGTATTTTAATACATTGCATATTTACAACTAGGTTCTATAATTTATGCTTTGAAATTTACTTTTTTATAGTTTACAGGAATTTTATTTTTTGTGCCTATTTCTTTTTACACCTATGTGAACCACTATGGAACAACTTAAATTTTGTGCCATAAAAATATTTTTGTGGTAAGGTACTATTTTTTTAGCTCTAGGGATATATCAGCAAAAATCCACCATACAGTTTGAAAGACCTAATTTTATGTTGAATGAGCACAACATAAGCTGAAGCATTGCAAGGAGGTAGCCAGACAGCAGTTAGATGGTCTTGTCTTTTTCATTGTTAATTTATTGTCCTACGTGGGTTTCAGATTTATAAAGGCATCACAGGCTCATTGCACTTAATACCTGCAATGTTTGCTACTGTACCACAATTGATTTTCAATACTTTATTACAGAGGATGAGAAACTGTAATGTTTTATTAACAATGCTTCTGGAAATGAATGCATTTTAAAGCAAATAAATCTTTTTGATAGACCTTTTACAAAACCCATTTGCACTAATGAATGCTTTCTTATGGTATATGACTTAATATTTGTTACTGTGTACATTGCTCTTTTGGAATGTTCCGAAATAAAGACTATTTCAGCAATACCAGGTCACGCATGAATGTGCAGCATAAGCAGTATAAATACCATTTCTGTGTTTCACGATAATTGTGAAAGCAGTCATTGTTGCTGTGTATCTCGCACACAGCATTTAGATCTGAGGCAGGTAGGCAGAATACTTACACTTGTGAAAATTATTCCTCTAGAATGCTCCTGATAAGAAATGGGAGGTTTTGGGTCTCAGGCCATCAAAATTCAAGTAGCCTCTGGCCCAGAAATACATATATGGATGAACGCTGTCCACAGAGATTAATATTTTACAGGGGTTGAATTTGAAATACTGTCTCAGTATCCGCAAAATCTTATTATACACTATATCTGGTAGGCGTTGGAAAACTTTTCACCTCAAGGTACTAGGGAAAGTTTAGGTGAAGGTTTTAATGGTAAGTTTTAAAATAGAAACTTCTATATAATCCCATCTAGAATGGCATTTAATTAACCTGCAAGGTAAATGAAACGTGAGCTAGTGGAGGGGAGATACCAAAGGGGGGGGAGTTATGTTTCTTGAGCACTCCTTTGGTGAGGAAAACTGTTCTAGAGACTTCACGTTCGTTTGTCTATCCCAGATCACCTACTGTTCTTACAAGATAAAGATCCGAGCCCCAGATAGCACATTAACCTCATATAAACATCTAGCTCCTAGTGAAGCTGACTTACAAATCCGGGTTTAGCTGATCTCAAAAATCTGTTTTACCGCTGTGCTCTTTCTATGAGCAGATATCGTTAATACATCTTTAAAAAATGGGTTCATATTCTGAGGAAATTAAAGGATTAAATCATTTGTAGGACAAATATATCTATTCAAAAAAGTCTGTTTAGCCCTTGGGATAAAAAAGATCTCCACGTCTTGGACCTCACATTCTAGCTGGTGGGAGAAACAGTAAACAGTAAGTGAATCACATGATTGGTCCATACTGGTCTGGGAGGGAAAAGAAGTGCTCAAGGAGGTGCGGTCAAAGCAAGAGAAAACAGAGATAGGAAGAGATCACGCTATTAAATGTCATCTGGACAAATCTCATTAAGAGGAAGAAGGAGAATTGGTCCTAAAGTTCCTTCACAGCCTTTCCCCTGGACTTCCACAGAACACAGAGCGGTATCCATCTCAATGGATGCCCTAGGGTCGTGGTTCTCAGTGTGGTCCCCACATCAGCTCTTGGGAACTTATGAGAAATGCAGATTCTCAAGCCCCTCCCCGGACCTGTTGGGACAGCCCTCAAGTTGATTTGCCGAACCTCCTCCGAGAAAGACTTGCTTGGAAGGAGGGAACCGCCTATGCAAAGGTTTAGGAAGAGCAAGGCCAATGTGGCTGCAAGCAGACAGGACAAGGAGGAAAGTAGTAGAGATCAGGGCAAGATCATGTAGGGCTTTGTGGCCTGCAATGAGGAGTTTCATTTTACTTTGGAATGGGAGCTGTGCATAGTTGTGAGCCACAGAGTTCATGATCTGCCTTATGTTTAAATATGCTACCCTGGCATTTGGTGGGAATAGACGAACCTACTTCAGTAATCCAAGCAAGAGAGAAGGAATTGAACCAGGAGGATCACAGCGGAGGTGGTAAAAATGGTCAGCTTTGGAATATGTTCTAAAAGTACAGCCATCGTGATTCTTTATGGATTGGACATACTCTGTTCAGAAATGAAAACAAGCATTTAGGGCTGGCAATCAGAAGGATGGAGTCTCTCTGGTAGAAATGGGGAAGGCCATGGGGAAGTACGCGTGAAAGCCATGGTTCCGGCTGAGATCACCAGAGTGAGTTTAGATAAGAGGACTAAGGACAGACAGCTGGCCACATGTGCTTCTAGCTTATGGGAGTTCCTTGTACTGGGTAAAGACATCCTGAGAGCTTAGTTTTCAAACATGGAAGGGAGCTATGGTGTTGGTTTCACACAGAACCTAGCATGACTTCTATTTATAATAGCTATCACAGTCTAACGAGTTACCACAAAACTTAGTGACCTAAGAGAGTATCTCACAGTTTCTGTGTGTCTGGAATCTAGCCACAGCCTAGCTCAGTCTTCTGGCTTAGGGTCTCTACCATGGCTGCAGTGTGTCAGCTAGGGCTGCAGTCATGGGGAGACTTGCCTTGGAAAGAATCAGCTTCCATGCTTGCTGACGGGGTTGTTGGCAGGGTTCATTTCTTTGTGTGCCATTGACCAGAAGCTGTCCTCAGTTTCTTCCACATGGAATTCTCCTTGGGCAGCTTACAACACAGTGCTTGCTTCCTCTGAACAAACAAGTGATAGGTGCGAGAAAGTGCACCAGAAATATGGAAATTAGCCTTATAACTTGAAGCGATATCCCTTCCCTTTGCCATAGTCTATTCATTGGAAGAAGTCACTAAGTCCAGCCCTCATTCAAGGTGAGGGAATATCACAAGAATGTTAATACCTGGAGACAAGGATCTTACAAGCTGTCTGCAAAATACTGCCATCAACTTTACTAGATGATGTCAATCTCATTTACAAAATGATTGTCACACTATACCTATTTGCCATCATTATGAGAATTCCTGTTACTATATACCCTTATTGTTATAATGTCTTTAACTTTCTAACCTATGGGCATGTAGTAGTGTCTCATGATTTCAATTTGCATTTCCTTTGTTGCTAGTTGAGATCGAATACTTTTTCATTTGTTATGTTGAACATTGGCATATCTTTCATGGATTCCTTTTCAGGTCTCTTGCCCATTTTTCTGTTGGGGTTTTCTGACTGGTTTGTAGTTCTTTATAAAGCCTGGTCTAAGCCTTTTGTCAGTTATATGTGTTACATCTTCACATTGTGTAGCTTACTTTTTAATTCTCTTGATGGTGTATTTTTATAGACTTAAGTATAGTACCACGTATCATTCCTTTAAGATTAGTCATTTTATAGCTGATTTAAAGAGTATTTTCCTACCCTGGAATCATGATTATATTCTGTATTCCCAAAGCTTTATTATTTTGCTTTCCACCTATAATTTTTTATTGTCCATGTGGTTGTCTAGTTCTAATAACACTGAAAACTTCATCCTTACCTTAGTTTTTCTTTGTCAAAAAGCAGATGCCTTTGTGTGTATCTATTTCAACTATCTAGTCTTGCACCAGAACCATATTGTTTTAAACGCTGTAGCCTTACAATAAGTTTCGCTGAATAGCAAAGCAATCTTGTGTCTTATTTTCCCTTAAGAATGTCTTGGTTATTCTTGTCCCTTTAAGCTTTGTTCAAAAATATGTATAGACATTCAGTCAGTGACATTCCAGAAAAAAAAAAAAAAATCCTGTTGGAATTTTGATTAGAATTGCATTGAACTTAGTTTGGGAGAAATTGATTCTTTACAGTATTGAGTCTTACAATCCATGGACATAGTCTGCGTCTTTTATTGATCGAGGTATTCCTTAATCTCTCAATTAAAATGTGCAGTTTCCCCCATGGAACACTTGTATACTTTTTGTCAGTTGAGTTTCTGGATAGTTGGCATTTTTATGCAATTGTAAGGGATATTTTTTAAAATTTCATTTCCGAGGTTTTGCATGTTTTATTCAACTTTACATTTATATCAGTTATATTAATTTATGTTTGGAGGCTTTACTTCACAGTTAAATGTGTGAATGTTTTATTTCTTACTTTCCTGTCCTAACTTCTTTCTTTTTCTTGACTATGATCTTCAATGCTGTATTAAATATAAAGGAGAATATTTTTCTCTTTGCTAATATCAAAAAGAAAGCCTTTCTATTTACCATTAACTTTCAAATTTGCTAAGAGAATTTTTAATTGTTAAGAGTGAATTTGAACAACCTTTATGTCTATTAAAATATCTTAGTCTTAATATGCCAACTTTATGACGGATTTTTTAATATTGAATCAACTTTGAATTATTGACATAAATCCAATTTGGGACATTTTATTCTTTTAAAAGGTGGATTTGATTTACTAACGGTTAGGGGTTTTGCTCAGTATTTTGAATACGATTGATCTGTATTAGGTTTTGGAAT